TTAAAAACATTTTTATTTAAAGTTTTGAGTTCCAAATTTTATTCATTCCTCCTTTACTCCCACCTTTCCTGATAGAGTAAGCAATCAGATGTAAGTTATACGTATGCAATTATGTAAAACATGTTAGCCATTTTGTACAAGAAGACTTGAATAAAAAGAAAAAATGAAATAAAGTGAAAAATAGCATGCTTCAGTCTGTATTCAATCAATATCAGTTCTTTCTCTGGAGGTGGGTAGTATTCTTCATTATCTATCAGTCATTTTGGATTCTCTGATCATTGCATTGTTGAGAAAGAGAAGTCATTCACAATTCTTCATTGAACAATATTGCTGTTACTGTGTACAACATTCTCTTGGTTCTATTCACTTCTATATGCATCAATTCATGTAATTTTTTTCCAGGTTTTTCTGAAATCATCCTGCTTGTCATTTCTTATAGCACAATAATATTTCATTACAACCACATACCACAGCTTGTTTAGTCATTCCCCAATTTATGGGCATACCTTTGATTTCCAGTTCTTAGTCATCACAAAAAGAGATGTTATAAATATTTTTTGGTACAAATAGGTCTTTTTCCCCCTTTTTTTGGATGCCTTTGAGATATAACCTAGCAAATGGTATTGCTGGATCAAAGGTATACACAGTTTTATAGCTGTTTGGGAATAGTCCCAAATTGCTCTCCAGAATGGTTGAATCAGTTCACACCTCCTTCAACAATGCATTATTGTTCTAATTTCCCACATCTTCTCCAGAATTTATCATTTTCCTGTTTTGTCACATTAACCAATCTGATAGGTGTCAGGTGGTACTTCAGAGTTGTTGTAATTTGCATTTCTGAGATCAATAGTGGTTTAGAGCATTTTTTATATGACTATAGCTTTGATTTCCTGGTCTGAAAACTGCCTGTTCATATCTTTTGACCATTTATCAATTGGGGAATGACTTGCATTTTTATAAGTTTGACTCAGTTCTCTATATATTTGAGAAATAAGTCCTTTATCAGAGATACTTGTTGCAATTTTTTCCCCTCAGTTTTATGCTTTCCTTATAATTTCGGTTGCATTGGTTTTGTTTGTGCAAAAACTTTTAAAATTTATATAGTCAAAATCATTTTACATTTTGCAATGCTCTTTATATCTTCTTTGATCCTAAATTCTCCCTTATCCATAAATTTGACAGACAAACTATTTCATGCTCTCTTAATTTACTTATACTATCACCTTTTGTGTGTAAATCATGTATCCATTTTAACTTTATCTTAGTATACTGTGTGAAATGTTGCTCTATACCTGGTTTCTCCCACACTATTTTCCAGTTTTTCCAGAAGTTTTTCTCAAATAATGAGTTTTTATTCCAAGAGCTTAGATCTTTGGGTTTATCATATACTAAATTACTATGGTCATTTACTATAATGTGATTTGTACCAATCTATTCCACTGATCCACCACCTTATTTCTTACCCAGTACCAGATTGTTTTGATAATTACTGCTTTATAATACAGTTCGAGATCTGGTATGGCTAGACTACCTTCTTTCACATTTTTTTCATTGATTCCCTTGATATCTTTGAGCTTTTCTTCTTATAGATGAATGTTGTTATTATTTTTTCTAGCTCCATAAAATATTTTTTGATAGTCTGATTGGTATAGTACTGAATAAACCAAATAATTTAGGTTGAATTGTCATTTTAATTGTATTGGTTCAACCTATACAAGAACAATTAATATTTTCCGATTGTTTAGATCTGACTTTATTTGTGTGAAAAGTGGTTTATAGTTGAATTCATACAAGTCCTGGGGTTTGTCTTGGCAGGTAGGCTCCCCAATGTTTTGTATATTGTTTACAGTTATTTTAAATAGAATTTCTCTTTCTATCTCTTGATGCTGGACTTTGTTAATAATATGTAGAAATGCTAATGATTTATGTGGGTTTATTTCATATGCTGCAGCTTTGCAAAAGTTGTTAATAATTTCAAGAGTTTTTTGGTTGTTTCTCTAGGATTTTCTAAGTATAACATCTATCATCTGCAAAGAGAGATAGTTTTGTTTACTAATTGCTATTCTAATTTCTTTAATTTTTTTCTTCTCTTATTGCTATATTAACATTTCTAGTACAGTATTAAATAATAAAGGTGATAATGGGCATACTTGCTTCACTCCTGATTGTATTGGGAAGGCTTCTAGCTTATCCCCATTACATATAATGCTGGATGATGATTTTAGATAAATATTATTTATTATTTTTAGGTAAGCTACATTTATTCCTGTTCTCTTTAGTGTTTTTAATAGGAATGGGTGCTATATTTTGCCAAAGCCTTTTTCTGCATCTATTGAGATAATCACATGATTTCTGTTGTTTTTGCTATTGAGATGGTCTATTATGCTGATAGTTAACCTAATATTGAACCAGCCCTGCATTCCTAGTATAAATCACACCTAGTCATAGTGTATGATCCTTGTGATATATTGCTATAATCTCTTTGCTAGCATTTTATTTAAAAATTTTGCATCAATATTCATTAGGGAAATGGGTCTATAATTTTCTTTCTCTGTTTTGGTTCTTCCTGGTTTGGGTATCAGCATGATATTTGTGTTGTAAAAGGAATTTGGTAGGACTCCTTTACCTATTATTCCAAATAGTTTATGTAGTATTGGGATTAATTGTTCTTTCAATGTTTGGTAGAATTTGCTTGTGAATTCATCTGTCCTGGGGATTTTTTCTTAGGAAGTTCTTTGTTGGCTTGTTAAATTTCTTTTTCTAAGATTGAGTTATTTAAGTATTTTATTTCTTTTTCTATTAATCTGGGTAATTTATATTTCTGAAGTTATTCATTCATTTTATTTAGATTGTCAACTTTATTGGCATATAATTGAGCAAAATATCTCCTAACAGTTGTCTCAATTTCCTCTTCATTGGTGATGAATTCATTTCTTTCATTTTTAATAGTAGTAATTTGGTTTTCTTCTTTCCTTTTTTAAAAAAAATCAAATTAACCAATGGTTTATTTTTTATTTTTTTTTCATAAAACCCTTCAAGTTTTATTTATTAGGTCAATGGTTTTCTCACATTCTATTTTATTAATCTCCTTTGATTTTCAGGATTTTCAATTTGGTGTTTAATTGGGGATTTTAAATTTGTTCTTTTTCTAGTTATTCTAGTTGTATGTCCAATTCATTTGTCTGTTTTTTAATTTTTTTATTGATGTAAGCAATTAGAGATGTAAAATTTTCCCTAAATACCACTTTGGCTGCATCCCATAAATTTCAGTATTTTGTTTCATTGTCGTCATTTTCTTTAATGAAATTATTGATTACTTCTATGATTTGTTCTTTGACCCACTTGTTTTTTAGGATTAGATTATTTAATTTCAAATTATTTTTAATTTCTCTTTCAGTTGCACATCATTGAATGGAATTTTTATTGCATTGTGATCTGAAAAGGATGTGTTTACTATTTCTGTTTTTCCACATTTAGTTATGAGGTTTTTATATCCTAATACATGGTCAATTTTTGTGTAGGTGCCATGTACTGCTGAGAAAGGTATATTCTTTATATTCTCATTCAGTTTTCTCCGGAGATCTATCATATTTAATTTTTCCAGAATTTTATTCACTTCCTTAACTTCTTCCTTGTAGGACTTTTTTTTTTTTTTTTTTTTTTTACAGCTATGAGATTAATTAGCAGAGGAAGCAGGGAAGAATGATTCACCATAGCCCAGTTTTTTTCTGCTGGTGTCAATGGACCTGGAGGAGAATGATAAAGATAAGAAAGTGAGAGAAGTATAAAGGTAGGAGGGGGAGGGTAAGACATATATCCACTTCTGTATCCCAGAGAGATCAAAACAAAACAAAAAAAGGGAAAAGACCTATATGTACAAAAATATTTTAGCTACTCTTTTTGTGATGGCAAAGAATTAGAAATTGAGGAGATGCCCATAGATTGGGAAAAAGCTGAACAAATTGTGATATATGGTTGTGATGAATACTATTGTGCTATAAGAAATAATGAGTAGAATGGTTTCAGAAAAAACTAGGAAGACACATATGAACTGATGCAGAGTAAAGTGAGCAGAACCCGGAGAACATTGTACACAGTAACATCAATATTGTACAATGATCAATTATGAGTGACCTAACTATTCTAAGCAATACAATGATTAAAGTTAATTTTAAAGGACTCATGGTGGAAAATGTTATCTGTCTCCAGAGAGGGAACTGATGAACTCTGAGTGCAAATTGAAGCATTTTTTTCACTTTCTTTATTTTGCTTTCTTTTCCCCCCTGTAACATGGCTAATATGGGAATATGTTTTATATGACTTCACATATATAAGCATCATATTGCCTGTCTTCTAAATGGGTTAGGGATGGGCTCAGAGGGAGAGAGAGAATTTAGAACTCAAAATGAAAAAAAAATGAAAAAAATGTAAGTAAAAAGCAAGCACATGTCCCTTATGTTCCTCTGACCATGGGACATATCTTAGATATTTTATTCCTTCATCACATGCCTCAGCAATATCTTAGTCTCCATGAGTCTTTTTTTTTAAAGAAACAACAACCATGAACATTTACTGACCACCTCCCCTCACACACATGCGTGTGGGTTACAGATCACCACCCCCAACACATACACATACACACATGCATGGGATATGGAGTTCTATGATAGACATGATGGAAAATATCCAAACTCAGAAAGATTATGATCCCAGTCTTCAATTAGTTGATTAGATAACCTGGTACATAGCTGTACTGTACTTTGAAGTAATTTTGTCAAGGTTGGGATGAAGGTTGTCTGGATGCTGTGGACAACATTGGTTCTATGCTTCAGAACCTGTTTAACTCCATCTAATTTTCCCTCCCCAGGTTTCCTCTCCCGGGTTATGGAAGGAGAGAATAGAATTTGTATCTCTTCAGAAAAGATTCAGAATGGTGTAGGTGGCTCAGGGGATCCTTACAAGGAAAAAGAGTCCTCCATCAACCAACAAGGACCACTGGAATGGGACCTTCTAACAATACACAATTCCATCCCACTTCTTTCCTGCTGCTGGGAATTCCAGGACTGGAAGATGTTCACATCTGGATTGGCTTCCCCTTTTGTGCTGTGTATTTGATTGCTCTTGTAGGGAACGTGACTATCCTGTTTGTAATACATACTGAAAGGAGCCTCCACCAGCCCATGTTCTACTTCTTGGCTATGCTGGCTTCCATTGACCTAGGCCTATCCACTGCCACTATTCCCAAGATGCTGGGCATATTCTGGTTTAACTTGAAGGAGATCATGTTTGGTGCCTGCATCACCCAAATGTATGCCATACATATGTGCACTGGCCTAGAATCTGTGGTGCTCACAGTCATGGCCATTGACCGCTTTGTGGCCATCTGCAATCCTCTAAGATATACCATGATCCTCACCAACAAAGTGGTGGCCAATTTGGGAATAATGATTATAGTGAGATCTTTAGTTTTTGTGACACCATTCATATTTCTTGTCCTGAGGCTTCCATTCTGTGGTGCCCGAATCATTCCCCACACCTATTGCGAGCACATGGGCCTAGCTCGTCTGGCCTGTACAAGTATTAAGATCAACATTGTTTATGGTCTTGTGGCTTTCTCCGTAGGGTATTTAGACCTTATTGTGATTGGTTTTTCCTATATTCAAATCCTAAGGACTGTTTTCTGCCTCCCCTCTCATGATGCCAGAATCAAAGCCCTCAGCACTTGTGGCTCCCATGTATGTGTCATGTTGGCCTTCTACACTCCAGCCCTCTTTTCTTTTATGACCCACCGGTTTGGCCACAACATCCCTGGTTATATCCACATCATTCTAGCTAATCTGTATGTTATTGTCCCACCTGCCCTCAACCCTGTCATCTATGGGGTCCGGACAAAGCAGATCCGAGAGCGAGTGCTAAGGATCTTTAATCCCAAAATTTCTTAATTCCCAGGAGTAGGATGCTTTCTCTTCTCATCCAAAACATAGGGATTAAGAACTTCCTGTTCATAATGTACCTGAAACTTTTGGAAACAATTGAAATAGCCAATTTTACCCCATTTTCATATTCTTTAAACTCTCTCCTTCCATCATACATACACATCATTACCTCCACACACACACACCTCCCCTATGCTTTGTTCCTACAATTACTCTCCAGAAATGCAAAAGACAATGATCCAAGATTGCCTAGACCAGTAGTCAAATGCAAATAGAAATGGGGATCACCAAACTGTACATAAGGATCACTGCAGATCATATATGGATTTAGAAACCTCACATATTTATATTTTAAAATTTCATTTAAAGAAATATTTATTTTGTGAAATATTTCCAAATTCCATTTTGATCTGGTTCAGGGTACCCTCAGGAATGTTGTGGGTCAAATGTAGGCCACAGACCATTTATTTGAAACCTCTTGTCTAGGGAATTTTAAAGCATTCATGTATTACTTGCATTTGTTACACAGAGCTTTGTGCAATGAGATTTCAATAAACATTGTTTCATTCTATCAAGATTCTCACTGTTTTTATGATTATCTAAGATTCAGGTTATGAAAAAAGTCATGTGGTTAAAATACAATATCCATTACTGCAATGCGATCATTGTCTGAAGCTTTAGCTTTGACCAAGCATAGTCGGTCTACCCATAGTGCCATAAAAACTCTATGAATGTAATCAGCACGAATAATCCTGATTAGATTCTTAGCACTCCTATCACTAGAAGGATCTACTAATTGACTTTATATGAAAAGAATTAATTTATCTAAATGTAATTTAATTTATGTAAATCTAAAGATAGTCGGTTTGTAGTGCCCAGTACCTTGTCATTCATACTGTCCATTATATTTTCATATGTTAAATTAAGTTGTAAGTTTTCAGATTTTCAGATAAGAAAAAACTAGGAGTTGTAACTAACATGTTGAATGACAGATTAGGGATCCAAAAAGGTCTCATTAGGCTAGAACTATGGTCTAATATAAAATGAGATTTAGTGAGATCAGTGTAAAACCCTTAATCCTGAGATTGGGTTCTAAAAGTCAAATGCACAAGTACAAGAGGGCATGCTATGCAAGAGTTCATGGGGAAAATTCCTGGCAAGAAGACACTTTCTTTTCAGAAAGCCCCTCTCATGGATTCCCACATGCTAGCCAAATTGAAATACTCTCTGAATCCAGAATTCATCATTCCTTCTGTGCCTATGTGGCACAAACCACCCCTTTCCATACAGGCAACCCCATTACCTAGAATGCATTGAACTTTCTCTCTCTCTCTCTCTCTCTCTCTCTCTCTCTCTCTCTCTCTCTCTCTGTCTCTGTGTGTGTGTGTGTGTGTGTGTGTGTGTGTGTGTGTGTGTGTGATTCCCCCTCTCTCTTTCTTTTCTTTGTCATGTATTCTCTCAGAATAGGGAGCTCCTGGTTAGGAAGATCCTCTTCCAATACAGATTACCATCTCCTCCATTTAGAGAGTTACCTGAGGCACTGAGAGTCTTTTTCCAATTTATTATATATGTAATTTTAGCACTCATTTAAAAAAATTTGAGATCCAAATTTTCTCCCTCTTTTGCACCCCTCTCTACTCTTTGTGAAGGATGTGACATAAGAAATGTGACATAAAGTTTACTTGAGAAATCACACAAACATTTCCATATGAGACATGTTAAAAAAAACACGATAAAGCGAAAAAAATTGTGCTTCAATCAGCATTTAGACTCCATAAATTCTTTCTCTGGAGGTTGATAGTATTTTTCATCATTAAGTCCTTCATAATTGTCCAGGATCACTGTATCGATCAGAAGAGCTAAGTAATTCACAGTTTATCATCACACAATACACATCTTACTATATAAAATGTCCTCCTGCTTCTGCTCACTTCACTTTGTATCAATTTATATCAGTCTTTCCAGTTTTTCCCTGGTCATTTCTTATAGCACAGTAGTACTCCATCACAATTATGCACCACAACTTGTTCAGCCATTCTCCAATTGACCAGCATCTCCTCAATTTCAATGTTTTTGCCAACACAAAAAGAGCTTCCATAAATATTTTTATATGTATAGGTTCTTTTCCTTTCTTTTTGATCCCTTTGGGATACAGATCTAGTCATGATATTGCAAGGGCAGCTAGGTGGTGCAGTGGATAGAGTGCTGGGCCTGGAGTCATGAAGGCTCATCTTCCTGAATCATCTAGCCTCAGACACTTACTAGCTGTGTGATCTTGGGCAAGTCACTTAACCTCGTTCACTTCATTTTTATCATCTATAAAATGATCTAGAGAAGGAAATGGCAAGTAGTTCCACTATCCTTGCCAAGAAATGGGGTCACAAAAAATCAGACACAACTGAAATGAATAAACAACAGCAACAAGTGGTATTGCTGAGTCAAAAAGTATACCAAAAAGTTTTATACCTTTCGGGCATAGTTTCAAATTGTTCTCCAGAATGGTTGGATCGATTCATACACTGCATTAGTGTCCACTTTTTCCACATCCCCTCCAACATTTGTCATTTTTTTCTGTCATATTAGCCAATTTGATATGTGTGAAGTGGTATCTCAGAGTTGTTTTAATGTGCATTTCTCTAGTCAATAGTGATTTAGAGGATTTTATTTTGATATGACTATAAATAGCTCTGATTTCCTTTTTTGGAAACTGCCTGTTCATATACTTTAATCTTTTATGAATTGGGGAATAACTTATGTCCTTATAAATTTGACTCAATTCTCTATATATTTAAGAAATGAGACCTTTATCAAAGAAACGTGCTGTAAAAAAATTCCCATTTTCTGTTTTCCTTCTACTCTTGGCTGCATTGGCTTTGTACATATTTGTACATAATTAATACATATTTTGAAATTTTATTTGTTTTCATTTCTAATACGGTAACTCTTGATAGATATAATCCATATAAACAAAAGTTCTTTCTGGTCCTCAATAATTGTTGAGTGTGAAAGGGTCCTAAGAGGAAAGAGTTTAAGAACTACTATCCTAGCCATTTCAATATTTTGATCAATCTTTCTTCATGTTCTCTTGGTGTCTTTCCAAAGAAAATGAGATAATCCAGGGGCAAACGTGGCAGGATAGATAGGCCAATGTACTTGGAGTCATAAAGACCTGGGTTTGAATCCTGTTTCAGGCTGTGGAATTCTGGTATGTCACTTAACTTCTCTGGGGCTCAGTTACCTCTTCTTTAAAATGGTGGGGTTGTGGAATATGATTTTGCTATAAGAAATGATAAATAAGCAGACTTCTGAAAAACTTGGAAAGACTTGTGTGGACTGAAGCTGAGTGAAGTGAGCAGAACCAGGAGAATGTTGTACACAGTAACAGCCATGTTGTGCAATGACTACTTTGATAAATTAGCTCTTCTCAGTTATGCAAGGATTTAAGACATCTCTAAAAGTCTTATGATGAAAAATGTTATCCACATCAAGAGAAAGAACTATGGAGTTTCAATGCAGATCGAAGCATACTATTTGCTCTTTTCTTCTTCTTTTTTTTTGTTGTTGTTATTGTTGTTGTTTCTTTTTTCTTGTAGTTCCTCTTATTGGTTCTAATTCTTCTTTACAACATGACTAATGTGAAAATAAGTTTAATAGGAATGTATATGTAGAGCCTGTATCGGATTGCATGCCATCTTGAGGATGGAGGTGGGGAGGGAAGGAGAGAAAATTTAAAAATCAAAAGCTTATGGAAGTGATTTTTGAAACCTAAAAATAAATTAATAAAAAATAAAATGGTGGGATTGGTTTTGATAATCTCTGCAATCCTGTCCAAAGCTATTTTCACATCCCTGCCTCCTCCAAGTCATTGGACATTTCTAAGCCTCAGATATTTCTTCTATAAAATGAAGGGGTTGGATTTGATGATCTCTAAGGTCCCTTCCAAGAGCCTAGGACCAGCACTTAGAAGTGCTCCATTACTCCAACCACTATCTCTAAATAAGCCATTGAAAAATGGCAGGTGCTCTTTGAAAAAGACATTGTCGTTTTTGTTTGTTTGTTTGTTTTTTCAGCATGCCAGAAAAACAAAAACTGACTTCTCTTTGTCTTCCTCTGCTTATACCTTGACTATTTACTGCCAGTGCTTTCCCTCTGGCCACATTGTTCCACTCATGATTGTCCTGCTGTGTATACAGGACTTATCTAACATGGTTGGTAATCATGGGCCAGACTTCAATTCCTATTTACATTGCATAAAATCAGGGCCCCCTTAATCCCATCTTGGGCCCTGAAATGATAGATTTTCACAGACATGTTGCAGACCACAGCTTTTGAAGACAAGTGGCAGGACCTGAGCAAGTAAATGGTGCAGTGCAATGTACGACTGATCTCTTCTGCTCTGCCAACATACTACTGCTATACTGGGTAAACAGAGTCTCCAGAGACCATACCTGGTACAAGCTAATCTATTAAGTTCCACACTCCCCAGGATCATGCATCCTCCTCTTCACCTGGCCATTTTCTGCCCTGCCCCTGTGTGCATACCAATCCCCCACACCATTACTACTCCTGCAATGAGAGCTATAATAAAATAAAAGTTACTATTACCTCTGAAAAGGGTATGAAAATCAGTGCCCTATTGCCTCTCTCATTATATTTAAGACTTCACAGACCATAGTTCCCTTGCCTGGCCACCAATTCCCATATATGTTGTCTTCTTTATTAAAATGTAAGTTCTTTGAGTGGAGGAATAGTTCTGGTTTTATATTTATATGTCCAGCCCTAAGCACAATGCTTGATTTAGAGTAAGTACTTAAATATTATTCTTTCCATAAGGACCTGATAGTATTTACTACATAAATCTAACGCTGGAAACTACAGCGTATGTAGCTGATAATGCAGGGTATATTGAACTGTTGGCACAGTGTTATGGTCCAACTTAATTCTTTTATTCAAAGTGATATATATATGGGGGGGGATGTGGGTGGGTGTGTGTTTGTATGTGTGTA